GAGCTGGTCCCTTGTTTAATAAAAATAAATCCTATACACAAATACCAGTGAGGACCTTGGCACAATTCAACACCATTTTCATGTCAAAAAGCAACTGTAAAAAACTCACCCGTGTATTTTTGTCAGCTGCAATGGGCATTCTTGTTTACTATCCACACAGGCTTACGTGAAGGACTTACAAAGGGTATGTTGGAGCTGAAATTCTAAATACAAAAACTGGATCATGAAAAAAATAGAAATATTTTTAAAGATTATTTGCTGCAGAAGTCAGTGACTTTCTCAAGAACATTTAAAGAGCAAAATCTATCAGGAGACAGTAAGTGGCAAATCCTGATTAGCTAAAATAATCAGCATTTCACTAAAAGGAAATACCCGAAGGAAAATAAAATCATTCTGGCTAGTTTCTCTTTTTTAGTTAAATAACATGTATGTTTTATTTTCAGTTTGTTCCACTGGAGCAGAGGAGAGAGAGATAAATGAAAGATGAGAGCCATAATCCATGAGAACACTCTCAGACTTCCACAGATAGTGAAATTTAACATTGATATGACAGCAACTCATCTCAGAGTCTAAGCTCTGCTTCGGAATCAGGGACAGCACAAAAAAGAATAGGGATAAAGAACTCGTATCAGCCTCGGCTGGTAAGAGAGGCAATGTGTAAAAATAGTCGGCAAGCATCGTAAACCAAGGAGGAAAAACCTCTGTAGCTGACTTCTTGCCATTTTCTTCTTTAAATTGTTGCTGTTACAGCAGAGCGGAGTTTAAGTTCAGTATTAACTACTACAAAATGACCACATTTATCTTCATGGTTGTACAGACCCAAAAGATCCACCACATTATACGCAGAGGGGACACCTGTACAGATGGGCAACAAGCTCTTGACCTGGCTGGCACGTGCTCTGAATAAACTCCAACTCCTCCTTCTACAACGGCATCTGGAGAACCAGTGTCACACCCAGGAACCTCTCTCCAGCTGACTGGTGGTAACCAGCTGCTGCGAGACCATATGGAAGATATTTTGCTCTCCATCACTTGTAGCAACCTTAGCATCAAAACATTTAAAGTCATTAGAAGGAAATGCAGGCAAACCTTACAGAGAGGAAAGCAGACATGCAGAGATGAAGCAGCTTCCTTTAGCAAGCCAAAAATAAAACCAACACTGCCAGAGCAGTGCCCAAGAGCTACAGGATCACACATCCTCTAAGCACGTATGGTCAGATTCTTTTTACTTTGCTGCTTTTACCGGCAGAAACAACATGCAAAGTACTGTTACCCACACCTGACGCCACACAGCACACCACCTGCCCTTTGCACTAGCTAATTGCTCCTTTGTTTTAAAAGAGCCCACTCTACAGGATCAGGATCCAAGTTTTTGGATCCTAGGTACTGGGATCACAGTTATTTGCATAGTGACACTAAGGTGCTCCTGTGTTCAGGAGTTGCACAGGGTTCCGAAATCGTCAAATACTCTAGGGAGATCTTAGACAAGGCAACGAGCCTTTAGGCCTGGCTTAGTGCTGCCCAGCATCATCAAGGCCATGGTGACTACATTACCATCTGATGAATTCAGGACTGCGCACACACTCTTATCACAGGGTCTTCGGTGCTAATAAGAACAGGATGAACCCCCACAAAACCAGGCTAATGTGTGCAATAGCTACGTGTCCAAGACTGTGTATGTAGCATGTTGCTCTTCTGTTGCTATAGCATACATTTTCATCTCATTCCCCAATCGAATCAATAATGCCAAGTAGCCATTCCGGTCTTAAAATTGTTCTCTTTAACCAAAAAGGCAACAAATGAGAAAACGCACTGAAGATTCAAAACTCATTTGGCAAATACTAAGCAGATGAATAGGCAACACTCTAGAAACTGATAAACACTGATCTAGAGAAGATATTTCCAGTGCTTTAGAGCACCCTGAAACAGATGATTGTAGGTCCTAATTAGTACTTTCAGTGTGTATGTATATATCTATATATACACACAAAATCATTTTGTTTATATATACTCACTTAAAACAACTCAGCTGAAACCACAGATTTTTTTCATACTTCTCAGGCTGAAGAGATTTCTTTTATCGTTTTGTTGTATTATAACAATATATTCACTACAGAATAGTTTCATAATTAAAAGCCTTTAATTAAGAAGATTAATTAAACATGAGATAAGCATAAATACTAAACAAACTACTTCAGAGAAAATCCACAATCTGACCTACCAAAATAACTTTACATGCAATTACACATGCTGCAGATTACTGTTTGTAGATAATTGCCTTGGCTGTCTCCTTAAAGTCAACTGACCACATATTAAAGTTAAATAATATCAAACCAAAAAATGAAGTCAGGGCTGATTGGACTTGCAGTTAAATGCATTCATTTTTCGTACATCTCAGCATTAACACATTACTGGTTCAATATCAATTACCAGTGGACCTTACTCATAACAAGTACTTACAGTACACTTCTGAAGCTAGCTTTCAATCCTCAAAATTAAAGATATTATTTTGTCTAGAAATTTCTTCATAATTTAATTTCCTTCAAATTACTTCTCAGAATAATCCCAACCCTAGAAATCTAACTAGCTTGATATACTGTTGACTCTTAAATACATTTCCTACAGCATTTTAACATGTTCTTACTGATGACACAGGAGAAGTAAACCAACTCATTTTTTGTGGGAAGGCTGCTTAACTGAATGAACAATGAAAAGGCAATGCTTAGATCCTACATGTAGTAATGGAAAATTTTAATTGCTTTTGGAATCTCTGCCATTATTCTTCCTAGCAGACAGAGTCAGACCAACTTTGTACCCAAACCCACACATGGTATACACAACGTCAATGAATGAAGTAAAACAACATGAAGGGAGGTTTATTATTTCAAGAGAGATCTCTATTCATTTCAAAAATTCAGTTTCATGGCCATCAATGGGAACTGCAAATGCACCTGGGGAAGAGGGCCACACAATTCAGAAAGCTTTCACAAAGGGAGTGGAAGTCCTAGAAACATCAGAAAATGAAAAACTTAAGTACAAGTGTGAATGCTTTTGATAAACCTCTATAGACTAAAAGTTTTGGTTTTCTGCACCCTTAGATTTCAGATGTACCAAAGCTGCCAAATGTAATTATTTTTTTTGTTGACAAAAAAAATAATAATTAACTCTATGTTTCAATTAAAATTGTTTATTTTTTGACCTACTTTTAGGTCTTTGAAAGGTGCTGCTCTTAGACTACATTAATGGGTTTATCTGCGTACAGAGTAGAGATTTCCTAGACTGTTCTCTAACTTCATTTATTAAATATTTTAACTACACATTTCATTCCAGCAAGGTGTGGAAATGACAGGTTTACATTTTTAGGACTCTTTACCCCTAAGCAATAAGAGAACAGAAACCGGAGCAGGGATGAATTCCACCAGCAACAGAAACTGAAATTCTAATTATAGTCTCCGAGGGAGACACTACAGAGTTAGTCTGCCAAGACCTCCTTCATTAGTGAAATAACCTCAAACTCTTTCAAGAAGTGTAATCTACCAAGACATGTGGAAGAACAGAAGGCAACTTTAAATAGGTTTAACAGACAGTTACCTAATTTATTTATTTTTTTAATTGAAAGACACAAATAATCTTTTCAAAAGGTTGATGTGTACGGACGAGTGAAAGTCCTAGAGTGAAAATGCAATATACCTCATGAACTTACAGAAGAGTGTATATATATATATGTAATTGTTGCACAGCTTTTAAACCAGTCAGGATCGTGACATTTAAATATACTTGAGAACAAACTCTGCTCTATGGAAATTTTTGATTACTATTGACTTCCAGAGCCAAAATTTCACTATCAGCACGTATAGCATGGGCAGCGAGTAAAATGAACCCAAACAGAAGGTGCATTAGTAAAGTTAACGGGGGAATGTATACAACATACGTTTTTTCCCTGTTACCTGGTGGTATATGTAACTGCAATTTGAAGCACAGTCAAATTATAGGCAGTTCCTATCTGCATGAGCCTATAGGGTCTGTAGAAATCTAAATTCCTTAAATGTAACATTAGTTTTTCCATACTGCACATGTTTTAAGGGCATTATTTGTTTTATGAGCTAACTTGAAATCCTGACGACACGTGTTGAAGTAACTTTATTTTCCCCTTACTAGGCACCGAATTAGCCTGCTTACTAATGTTTGAAAAATTGCTGTCAAGAAACAACAGTAACTGAGATATGACTTCTATTTTCTATTTCATCATTATGCAAATACTTTGAAAATTGATAATACTGTATGTGAGCTAAAAATAAATGGACTTGGTGATCAAAACCGCGCTTTATAAGGCAGGCTGTTGATGATCTAACGTAAATATTGATTTAAGAGGAGGCAATGCTTTCTTTGTATCTAGACACATTACTACTGTAGCAGTTACAAGCAGCCAGTCCTTCCTAAATATGCCTGTACAGCATGTTTTCTTCAATGTAAGAGATTTATGCTGTATTTTTACTGATTTCTTAACAGCTGTAGCAACATCCATTACATTTGTGAGATAAGCTCCTGGTACAGGCTAAGTACAGGTAATGCCGACTTGTAATTGCAGGCAAAATGCAATTGAACATAGACTTTTATAAGGTTCTTAAACACTCATACATGCAGTCTTCTAAGCATAACAAGCATAAGGGCAATGTTTATCCATAAACACCATTTTATTAGATGGCTTCAAACAATAATAGCAGCTATTTCATAAACCTTCTGTAAATTACTAAAACTCCAGGAAGAGAATTATGCTACACTAAACCATCACAAAAAATAATAAACCATCATCAAATACATGTTTGAAACTGATGAAGTACCATCTCAAAATAATAAAATAACGCTTACAACAGTCTTCAAACAGCAATGAGCTCTCAATCTCAACTGAATCAATGCTACTGCTTTGCCTCAGCTATTGCTTCTACCCCTACCACAGAGAGACTTTCTCTTTTTATTACAATTACTGAAAGAACTCTTACCTCTCCATCTCATATTCCTTCATACCTGCTTTTACTGCCTTCATTACCTGTAAGATACATATTAACATGGGACATTCATAGCAGGAGGAAATCTCATATTTATAAATTGATGACTTATGACTGAGTATCTCCAGAGTAACCTATATTACAAAAATATCATCTGTACTTCATTTAAATTTACATCAGTAGATGCATTTTAAAATTGCATTAGAAATCAAATTCATATTAATCTTTATAAATGCCTGCAGTCTCCAGCAATAAAGCAAGTTTAATTACCAAACTATATCCTAATGAAGTGCAGCTCATCACAATACCACTGCTTAATTCTGAAAGCTCTAATGAACTTGGCAGAAAGTCCTTTTGGTTTACTTTTATGAAACACCGGCAAAATAAATCTGTGAACTGGAATATACTACCAAAGGGAGATTCTCTTATACTGTGCAATCTGAATCAACAGAAAACTACGAGAGTTAACACTGTTTTACAATCCATAAGTCTGATTTTTGTTCTCAGATTTGCAGAGAACATGCACCAGTTTTATTCTTTTGCCTGTTTCTTTTTTAGTCTTTTTCTGTTTCTAAAAGTTCTAGGTAGGTGCTCTATGAAAGAAATTATCTCAGATGGGATAAGATTATTCAAGGATGATGAAGCTCCAAAAAGAATGAATGCAAATGACTTTAGAACTTTACAATATTCACTTTAAAATATTATTACACTTCACAGTTCAGAAATTTGTGGAGCAGGGGCAAAGTCAGCAGTTGAGTCAGTAACCTTACCAGCTACTCTTAACTAAGCTCCCTCCAATCATTGCTCAGAACTCACAGCATCTCTGCATCACTATAGGGAGCACAGGACTGACACCCAAGTTAACTTCATCATCAATACCAGTATAGTAATATGACACCACTGGTATAGTCCAACCTGAGTAGCCTTGCTGAGAGCCTGGATTTGTCTTTGCCACGCTGCTATGTCAACAGAATAGCATGGTGAAGCACTGGACCGGGGTACATATGCATCTCTAAGGAGCAACTAAGGAATCCTTGCACTATTCTCCACTGTGCACGGAAACACTTCTTCCGTTTGTAAGGATCTGGAGAAAGCAACCTGCTAGTTAAACTTTTCAGAGCCACACATACTGACATGGGCCAGAAGAATAATCATCTTGATCTCTTCTTTCTCATCACTATACAGGTATTTGTGCAGATAGGACAGATAGATTGCAAGCAGGTCACCTTCTGCCGAGGCTCCAGCTCTTATCCAAAACCACACTTCATTTCTCACACATCACAAATGCACCAGTGAGTTCAAGGACAATGCAAGGTATATTACTGGGCTGTAATAGGAGGGATATTATCCTCTTATTTCTATCCAGCCTTTCTGTTATTTTATTACTAAGCAATTCAGGGTTGCTGGGAACATTTTCTGAGTACCACTGCTACACTAAGAGCAAAAATTATTAACAGTAAAGGATCCATTACCTCTTTATGAGCTTCACTGGAGATTTTATTGGTGTAGCGCAGAACTTCCAACTCCATGTCTGTCTTAATAACACGACTTAAAGAAAAGCAGAACAGATATCAGGTTAGGTTGGAACTTCACAGCTTAAGAATACGAAACAAAAAAACCCTGAAAATAATACACATCACTTAGGGTAAAATCAGATCCAGTACACCTCAAGAACAAAGAGTAATTACAGTATTCATGACAGCAAAGTTTTGTTGGCATTGATTCACCATTAGCAAAACAATCTTACAAAGGAGAGTCACAAGTATTTCAAATATCAGCCTGCATTATTTTAATACTCATAAAAAAGTGGTCCAACCAACATTTTTTAACTGATTCTACAGTATATTAGGAACAAAAGCAATTTATTTCTGCATTTGTCATGGCTCAAACACTACTTCAAAAAGGAACATTTCTACAAGCAGACTTGATCTACTTTTTAAACACAATTTGAAACTAGTTTACATAACGAAATTCCCAGAGCTCCAGAATTTCTATTTAGCACAATCCCAACTCCCACCTATTTGCAATACCTTAAAAGGAGGGGTGGGTGGGTGTGATGGAAATGCTATTTCTGTTTGGTACTACAAAAACACAAAACATGAAATTCAAAACCCACAGCAGTAGTAATTACAGACATAATGCTCATTCTCTTTCACCTGCTTCTGGAGGAAAAACAAAACCAAATTCAAAAAACTCCCATCCTGTTCTTCACACCTTATGAGATACTGAATTTGTGTCTATTTATGAGCCTTGATACTCTGTTCTGAACCCATTTTAAAAGTTTACCACTAAACTCTTATCTACTTACATTGCTTTATACCATGTATTTCAAATAAAAGCAGCTATTTAGTGTGACATGAATGGGGAAGCAAAGATAGCTCCATACCTTCTATTGAAAATCACCTACTCTTTTCACTGCTACACATATTGATTTCTTAATATTTCTCATGCCCACCACAAGGGCAAGTGTGAAGTACATACTTACTGTTTACAAAGAACAAAACTACACCTACTGAATTACATGAAAATATTTAAATTGTATTTTCCAGCTCCACTCCAGAGCTTGCAGCAGTTACAAAGTACCATAACTGTTATATTTTGAAACTGCCACCAAGACATCCCTTTATTATAACATGCTCCTACTCCCATTGCTGTAGAAAACTATTTACTGTATTTCTGCTACTGTAGTTTACTTTAATGAGTCCAGAAACAGGTTTCTCAGCCATCAGTGCCTCTGATGTGCAATAAGAGCATTTCCCACAGACAGCAATCATATTGCTATGCAGCCACTCCCCTTCAAACACAACTTTTCCAGCAAGAGTAAAGGTACCTCTGTAAAACGGCTGGTATCAATCAAAACGCTCTTACAAATGGAAACACAGCAGAGCAGAATGGATTGACGTTCTTCGTCAATTGAAATATGACACAAAATAATAATTATGCCCATTGAGAATGAGAAGTGCAAGGTTTTAAAATGCACACCGAGGTGAAAAAATTACACTGGGATGGTATAATCTGCTCACTGTGCTGAGGAAATGAACTTCTGTTTCTGCGTTTCAGCCAAGACATAAAGAACAATAGCTCAAATATATTCATGTTAGAATGAGGCAGCAAAGGCTTACAGATGTATTTATTTTTTTAATCCTGTTCTTTGGAAGACTGCATGTGCTAGGAGGATAATTTATCTGTTGTTTGATGTGCCTCATATTATTTTCAATATACAATACATATCCCTGATCTGCAAGTGCCTGAAGAATAGGTTGCTTCATAATTCAGATGTCTATCTCTATATTGGAATCTGCTAGTAATACAAATTAGTAACTGCTCAGCTACAAGTGCAAATAGTATTAGAACCTATTTCACTTGACTAGGTCATAAGGCTTCAGGGTCAAGATATTTACTTTATTTCTCAGGTATCTTTTTGCATATACAAATTCATGCCAGCCTCAGACAGATTTTTTTTATGGAATGCATCATCTTCATTTACACAAGGTCAAGCACTGAAACATTTTACAGAAATCGTTTAGTCAGAGATCAACAAAAATCACTAGCCAACCGTTAGTAAGGAAGAGAGGGAGGATGTACAATTGTGTAGGGAGCACCATCAACTTCACCCTCCACCAGACACCAAAAAGAAAAAGTCAGTGGGCTCCTGTGCTGTCTGCAGTGGCAGTGTCAAAGGAGTTCCCACTAGTGTATTTCAGTAGCAGAAGGGCACATATTCCAGTACCTTGTCACTGTTTTGTGACGTAAAAAGCAATACTCTCTCTAGGCAGGTTTAAAGTGTTGCTAGTGAAGCACTGTGGTTAGCACTGCAAGGCAATCTCGCTGGTGATGAGTGGTCCACAGTTTTCATGATGTTTTGCCCTCCACTTCCACGACATGGCTAGGAAGAAAGTCCCACCTTTGTTGATGAATGTGAACTTCAATGTTCTATTAAAAGCAGCTCTTGGACAAGTTACACACTCCGCACATATTCATTAATATTTTAATGAGAACAAATAATTTCCAGGCTCCAGCTAACGCAATTGCAAAAATGTACAGATACAGCATGTAAGGCCATTGGCACATTAACAGGCAAGCCACTCAGTGCAATCAAATTAGAATAGAAGCACAAGTCTCCTACTGTCAGAATTAACCTATAACTTTCAATTTCTTTTGTTTAATTTCTGGATAAGGTTGTGGGTTTTGTTTTTTTTTTTTTTCATTTTACCAGTGCATAAACTTTTCTTCTTCCTCATTCTCTTCTTTTACATATGCTTTGTGCTTTTATTTCCACTTGCTATATGAGTAGGTGGTCTTTTAGTGCATGTCAGTCATCCAACAGAAGAGAGAAGCATTAATATAAACAAGTATCATTTCGATCCTGAAATTAAGTTTGGGCATTTTAAGTGGCTGGATACTAAATTTCATGCACAACCTATTTTCCATTAATCAAGTGGTCAAGAGCACATAATTAAGGCAATTATGAGGTTGAAACTTGCATAACTACATTTTCCTAAACCAGTGCTTTCCTCAAAGATACACAAATGTTTGCTTCTCTAAGTGCATTCACCATTCCTGATCACACCACCAGAAGTATTTGTTCCCAGTTATCGACAAAGTGTTTACCAGCTGTCTTGTTTTGTTGTTTTTAGTACACGTGTGCAACCGTAATGGCTGCTTTCTGTGATGTGCACGGAAAACATCTGGGTACCTCCACTCCTCCTTGTCCTTCTGGAAATGCAATTATGTCTACAGACCACCTAGTATGTATAGATGCTGCCCACATAGACAGACTCTGCAGTCCTGCCTTGTCTTCACCCCTTTTCACCTCTGCTGTTACCCTTCCACGTTTTATTTGTAGAAATTTCTCTATCATAGTTGATACATCTATGCTCTTCTGCAAGCTTTCACATAAAAACTCGCTAACTGAATTAGCATCAAAACGGAGTAATGCACATATGCAAAGGAGAAGCACTACAACAGTTGCATGAACACCAAATACAGGAGTTCATCTTGAAACAGTTCAAAAAGATGTCAAGATGTTTACAACATAAATCAAAAAACCCTGAAAACACAAAAAGTGTATTCCTAGCTTTAAGACATTAAAACACAGATCGCTTTACCAGAAGAAACAATTATAGCTTTTCATGAAGGTAATGTAAAATACAGAATATATGAATTCTTCCACATGTAAATATCAAATCCCATTTTCATTGAGGTTATGGGAAAATACAATATATACAGGCACAAAAGGAGTCATACATTGCTAAATGCTTATCTTCTAGCACCACCACGATTATGGTAGACAGACACTGGTATACTAAAGTAAAAGGCCATTTTTCTAAGTGCTAATGTAGAAAAAGTTCCTTCTGATTACTAGGGAGATGGTTTGGACAAGTTTAGAGTTTGTCTTCTGTTAGATTACATTTACTTTTCAAAACAGTGAAATCAATACTTAGCATACACATTCAGCATCAAATCTGAAATGAGACCCCTGAAATTTAAAATGAAAGTGTTTAAATGTGTTTGAAAACACATTCACCCAATTTAAAAAAAGTGAAAATACCCATCTGCAAACTGCTGAAATCCAGTCTAAGGTCAAATTCTTATTCTTTATCCTTAAGTTTCATATCAAGTCAGAAGACACTGAGATCTTGAAAAAGGATGAGTAAGAAAGGGAGGCAACAGATCCTTAAGCACAAACACTTTGCCCCTTGTCAGTGTTGAACCATTTTCTCTGCATTTTATTAGAAGACCGTATAATACTAGAGTTGCCTTTGTAGCTCTCAGTTCTCTCCAGATGGTTCAGAAAACTCAGTCATTTCACCTCTTGCTGGCAGTTTTGACAGTATGGTATAGATCAGAGTTTTTCTGACAAGTATCATGTAAAACAGAATAATTCGGAGTTTGCTGAATTTGAAATTACATGCATTCATGCAAGCATATGATTCATATTAAGCAGTTTCCTACCCTAGAATACAATCTCAAAAAAACTCATCTTCCTAAAAGAAAAATATTCTTAATTCTAAAAACGTTATTGCTTTCCAAAGAAAGTTTCTTGGGCAATAACTTGACATTCCAAGGAAATTTCTGCTTTAGGAAGTTTTAGTACATACAGCCTGTCATTCACTTCTTGATTTCACCAGACACTTATCCTAACAACGGTCTTTAACACACTTCTGATTTAAAATGAAAGGCATTAAACTTGACAAAACTTTTTAAAAGACTTTTGAATTCAAATCTGAACTTTGGCTTCACTTACAATTCCCTTTCCTTAAAAGCCAGGTGGAGGGAAGGTGCACACCACGCATCTCTCCCTCGTGAGATAGCACACAGAATGTAGACAGAACACAAGTTCAGAAATTGATGTGTAAGAATGTACAAATTCAATACAATTAGGAAAACTTGTTAAAGAAGGAGCTTAGCAAAATCTATTTCCTTTTAATAATATTGTTAGTGTTTCATCAGTAAAGCTCCTGTCATTGCAGATATCTACAGGGAAGATCTAGATATGTTCACACATGCTCTGAGACCCCTGATGTCATGTTACATTACTTACAAAAAAAATAGAAAGGATAAATTGAGTTAGAAATTCTTCAAAAAGTCTTGTTTTCCTGCAGAGGTGGCTGCTGCTGAGTTCTAGTTAGTTGGTTTGGTGTTGGGTGAGGGGTTTTTTTGTCTTTTAAGACATTGGGATCTTCCAGCCTCTGACACTTCATTATCCTGTGTCCAGCAGCCAGAGGAGATTCTCTAAGGGATCTGATAAACTGTTTAAAGAGCGGAGGAGGGAGCTACATCTTTAACCTGACAGTGCCGTTTTTGTGCTCCTCTTGTTTGTCCACCTTTTTGTACTCCTGTTAGTGGAGAAAGACAAGGGGCAAGAAAGTTGCAAGCTGGCAACTAGACGAAGACAGCAGAAGATTTTAATATTAGCAAATATGCTGAGAACAAAGAATGATATGTAGTAGTATATAATACAATCAGCTACCTCACTGGTAGTCAGAGTGGACACTTTCCTGTTTGTAAGTTAAGATAGATAAGCTCAGAATCTTAAAAGAGTATTTGCCTCCTCATTTCTAGATTAATACACTCAGAAAGCTTAGATAAAAAACTGATTCATTAATCCACTATGTTGCTTCTTCAGTTAATTTTTTAAATGGAGAACTAGAAAGCCGTAGTTATGGAGCAATCCTGAGGACAAAATCAGCAACACTGACCAAAAGAGTAAAACTGGCAAAATGCAGCAGCTTTGCAAGCTGCTAAGACATTTAGTCACACTCTCTAATTTTGTCTATCCTAGATAGGCTGCAGCAGAATTCCCCTGGAATTACAAATTATAGTTACATGAATAATAATTCAACAAAATTAATGTTGTTAAAATAATTCCTAGAGAAGTAATAACATCTTATTAAATATTACCTGTTCAGACACAGTTTTCATCTACCTCTGACTTTCATTGCTAGAATATGAATTATCCTCAGTTCTTTTTCTATTCCTACAAATCCACATTTACACAAATGTGACTTAACTTCAAACACATTCTATAAAAATGTATATCCAGACACAACGCTTAAGAAACATTACGTTACACAAATTCCTGACTTTTCAATGCTGTTAGCTAGTCCTGTTTATACTTTTTTTATATTATTTCCACATCACAACATGAAATCACCTTAAAATTAAAACTCTTATAGTAAACTAGGAGGCTTCTGCTGAGGGAATCTCTCTGAAGCAATGGTACACAATATAAGCATGTTCAACAGTATCCAAAGAGAAAGACTTTATGCTACTCACCATTCTGCAATTTCAGGATGAAGGATTTTGTTGTTCACATGAAATCTACAAAGAAACAGAAAAATACAAATGTTAAAAAACAGCCAAACACACAACAGCAGAGACTGCATAGTCACTTTTTTTTTTTTTAACGTGCCTTCTCTGAGGATGCGAAAATCTGCAAAGGCAAATATCGTACTGGAATTCAGTACGGATCAGCATAGATCTCACAGTGAAGAGAATGCACACACTCATCTTCACTGTGCAAGTATTTCATTTTGAAATACATGAGACAGATACATAATTTTAAGAATGCGCAAAAACCACAGTAACAGTATGTTCGAGACACATTTTAAAACCTTCTTTTGACAAAGATGAAACGTTAAGTTACCAATTCACTGCTATGACTGTGGGTTGGACCAGACCGGCCTTGAGAGGTCCCTTCCAACCAAAATTATTCTGTGATTTTAACTTTGCTCCTCAAATACCCTTCAATGAAATTAAACAATGAATTGCTAATTTCATCCTTTGTTTTACACCTTCAGATTTTTGTGTACACAGAATGTGGCATGCGATAAACAAGCTTGCTCAGAGGACTGTGAAAAGGAAAACAATCTCTCCTTATCTTTTCCGATCTAGAGAAGAGGCAAAGCTTCCATCTCACCTTGGCCTCAAACACTTACCTATTTTTCTGTTTATTTTCTACATTAGCAATTCATATGTTCTTGGAACTATTTTGAGGCTCTCTAAACAATAACATTACAGTGGCCAATAGAGTAAGAAGCTGAGTAATTAAGTGGAACATAAATGGATTTTCAAGCATTGTTCAAGGGTGGGTTTTTTTGCTTAGAATTTAAATGCCTAAGGACAAGTCTACATCAAAGGTATTTTTGTCTGACTCAGGACTGTTGGCTCTTCAGTTAGGGCATTTAAGAGAATTAAAACGCTCCAAGACTCCCAACAGATCTTCAGAAGAATGTTGTAAGGCAACAATTCATTTTCCCACGTTTTTGAATGAAAAATTAAATCTATTCCAGGTTATTAACCATTCCTTATACCTCAGAAGGGATGAACTAAAGCACAAATCCAATTAAAAAAAATATTTGAAAGTCACTTCTGATTGTACCAGGGTCTTCCTGCACCCTCAGATAGCAGAAAAACATCCTATGCTTTTCTTTTTCAAGAACATATGCTCATAAACTTATAAAATCCTAACAAGATGAAGGTCAATAGCTTTGTGTTCCTACTCCAAAACAGAAAACAACTTATCACAACACTCAACAATGACAAGCTGCATGGTATTCATATTATGGGTATCAATTAGAAACCACTGGAAATGCAACAATACAAAAAGCCACAAGTCATAGAATACTGCATTATTATAGAATAAAGTTGATACTTGGAAACAAGAAAGTATTGTAAAACCAGTGAAAAAGGGCACTTTTTCAATTTAATCATCACCATCCCAACAACTATTACCTATGTAGGCCAATGCAGACATAATTCTGGAATGGAAGAGCCAGTTAAATTTATACAGAAGAAAATATATGAATGATATAGTAAAATCAATCTATAAAAATTCCACAAAACCAAAAGCCTGAGCTCCCTATCTGTCTGGAAGGCATTCAAACTGACACCACCACAGAAAACCAAGACACAGAAGAATTAAGCTGCAGCTGCAACAATGGATACAAGGACTTTCAATAATTGTCATCAGCATGTCAGACAGAAAACAGATCAATGAAGGCAAGCATAAAGAGACACTGCAGCACTGCAGAAAGCTCCAAAACCAGCTCTATGCAAATAAGACAAGCATAAACTATGGTTACCAAGAAATAACAAAAGAAAATAAAGGGCAAGGAAGGGCAGGTACAGAAGACAGCTGACTCTGAAAATTCTCATCTCTTCTGTCAAGAACCTGACACATGCCCTCTAACCACAAGCACAAACGGATGAAACCAAAAGCAAATCAAATGAGCCAAACAGTAAAACTATGAACCTTACAACTGCATCTCATCTGAGCATTGATCTGACAAAAAAAAACAACAAAAAAATAGAGCGGGGGAATTGTACACTGGCAGAGGCTTATAATAGTTCAAATAATGCTCTTTTCTAAAAGAAATTTCAGCTGAGAGATGTACCATGTCTGTTGCAGACCCTGGTTTTTACCTATCCCAGCCATAAAGGCTCTGCTTGAACCATCTTTGTGTAGTTTTTCAAGTTTTACTTACTGGCTGAGACCACCTACTGCACAGCAGCTCTTTAAAATTCTAGTTGCTGCCAACTGGGGAAGCTAATTAAACACACACTTAGCTCGTGACAACTGTGAGTCCTGTGCGAGTGGCCACAAGGCCACCTGTTCATGACTGCTAGACTTCCAAAGCTAAAAACTCAAATTATCCTTCACTTTAGTTACCATCAAGCCAAGCAAACAAACCACATCCTAAAAGTTACTGGTTAAATGGCAAGCTCAAGGGGAAGAGCTTGTCATCACTAACGGGAGAACATAAATCGTGTTCAAAATGAATAATTCACATAATTTGTGCACAAAGTCCTACACAAAATATTCCTATCTTGTACATCTGGCAAAGTTTTTATCCTGCTAGACAACAACTTACTCCTAAAAACCATGTACTGTCCTTACATTAAGAGGATCATGTAGAGCAATCCAATTCTGCATTTTCCTGCAATTTGCACTTAGATGATGAGATATGTGGTCTTGAATAAGAAAACAAATAAATATTTTGCTACAGTTGCAATCTGTAACATGTTAATGCGCCCATTTAATCAGCACAGAACTAAGAAATACTATATTAAAAGGCATGTCCAGATTGATTTCCTACTCAGTTGTCCTTTAACATGCAAGTCAATTTAATTAGTAAAAAAAAAAAAGCTAGAAATCGACACCTCCTATGTAATAACACTGCATAATGAGACCCTTTTCGGTCAGTTTAATGAATACACTTTGTGTGTATACAGTGATAAAAATCTAAGACATTTTCATACACAATGGCAGAATTTTCTACTCATCTTCAACATGGAGAATCTTTCCCCTAATAATTGACTTCACCACACAATAGGGAAAAGGCCATTTAGATGGTGGTTAGATGAAGCAAAGGAATTAACTGAAAAACTTTAAACATTAGGTACAACTGCTTAAACTGTCTATCATTTACATAATCAATTCTGAGGATGAAAAAAAGCCCCCAACACAGCCAGAAAAGATTTATTCAACAGTGATTTTAAGTAAGTAGCACAAAACTGTTTATCCATACAGGTTCGAATACATTGGTGAACTACATCATCTCAAAGCTTTTTTACAAGTGCTACATAACCGCTACATGATTAGATTTTTAAAACTCCTGCACGTTTTCCAGTCTGAAAAATGGTTCCATGAATTAGAAAAAAAATGAACTAGCCTTTATTAGCAAACAGAAATACATACTTCTAGAAAACAATCCATTAGAACTACTTTAGAAATCTGCCTTCTACACTTAAGCCATCTGAAGTAAGTGAGAGCAAATCACTTCTGCAGGATTCATAACAGCTGAAAACAAAGCTGACTTGACAGGAGTTACCAGGAACAACATAAGCAAATGGTCCAGGACTCCTATGTCCCTGCCCCAGACTGCTCCCACCACTGTACTACAGTAGCGCCCACCGCTGAGCAGGGAGACTTCCCAAGCACAGCCATTCTCCGTTTTTACAGATTGCAGCAATATACAAGCTTTTTTTAGTACAATATACTTTGCTACACAAGAGAGCTATAGGTAAACTAACAGAAAATATAATATGAGTCGCTATTATAGGCTCTATTATCAGCATAAAATCACATTTAATCATTGCTAGCAGGACAAAAATAACAGATTATTTTCGGGGTGAGCATAGAAATAACCCATGACCACAGTAGTCATTTTGTCTCAAATGACTATTTATTACAGTGGAAAAATTAATCAAATAGTTTAGGTAATTATGTTCCAGAAGAAGCTCCAAAGGTTCAAAAAGTAAGGCAGGGAAGCAACATCATTAAGGCAAGAAAAAGGCAGGTTCTGACAGGAGCAGATGAACAGCTGGCAAAGAGAGCAAGATTCAGCTTTTTCAGGAAATGATACATTATTTCTATTACTATCCATCACAAAAAAAAAAAAAACCCAACCACAAAAAAAAACCCAAACACCACCACACCACACTAGCAGTATCAGTCTGGGAGAAAAAAAGACAAATGGGAGCAGGAGGAACACAAAAGGGCCTTAGCAAGCAAATACATCTTGGCCAGGTAGCCAGAAAATGGAAACAAACAAGAACCCAGGAATAAAATACAGCTTTATAGCTAGGGCAGAGCCCCGCTGAGCAGAGGACAGAGGAGACAGCTGACAAGGCGCAGTTGCGGGTAGACGGGACAGAGGCGGTCTGAAGGAACACGCTGCTTGGTGCAAATCCCATGTTTTAGTCCTCTCAGAAGAAATCAATACATCCACAATATACGTGTTTCTATAAAGGCAACATTTGA